AGTTATAATTGGTTTATTGGTTTGCACCATCAAGCTTCTTCCTATCTTTGGGAATCTGTGAAAGATGGAAGGTATTATGATGATCGTCTAGGTACTGATTCCATTGGAGTTTCCCTCAGCGTCAAGTTTGATCATGTGAAAAGAAAATAGTGAATTTTTTTAGTGTAAAGTTATTTAGTTTTTACTCTAAGTTTTTCTATGTCATCTACATGTTTTCCATCTAGTTATAATGTTTAATATTTTTATTACTTAAGGGAAAGTAATGATTAAGCTTGGGGAGATTTGATAGATGCCATTTTATGCATCCTTTAGGTTAGTTTTTATTTACATTTTGCATGATATTTTATGCTTTTTCATATGCATTAGTTCAATTAATGTTCAACTCAAGTTTATCGCTAGAATTCCCGTACTACTCTTGTTTTTATGTCGTTTTCAGATAATTCGAGTGGAGCGGTACTTTGGGAGCAACTTCGGATGTATATTTGGAGCTTAATGGAGCTAAAACACATGAGGAATCTGGAAGTTGGGTTAGATTTTCTGAAACTGAAGAGTTTGCGTCTGAATCACGCGTTTTATGAAAAATGCAATTTTGGATTCTAAAAAATGTGATCATATTTTTGCATCGAGTATTTGTTAGACTGAAAATTCATCTGGATTCTTTTTGAAAAGCATGTGATCATGGAAGCCTAGAAATGCGATCGCATTTCTCTCACGGTGTCTTAAAAGTGTTCAAAATAGAAACATACTTCATAATCGAAGTTTCTGGCTTGTATGTAAAGGCTCTCTCTCTCTCTGATCAGTTTAAGCCATGGACGTTCCCAAAAGACGAAAAAAAAATTGAAGGTGATTTTCTACACTTGTCATTACTTTTTGAAGATTTGAAGGTTGTGGATCATCTCAATTAGTTACATTAGTAATATTAGTCATTGAGTTTCTCCTTTCATTAGTTTTAATTCGATTTTAGCCATTTTGGCTAATACCAAAGTTTTTAGTTCTACAAAAGACTAATACTTTTGATGTGATTAATCATCAGATTTTGGTTTTCATTGTGGGTTTCTATGCATATATTTCAATTCTATGCTTAATGAATGTTTAATTTTGATTCTTGTTAGCCTAATCATATAGCAAGTTTAATCATTCCGGTTAATCGGTTGTTGAAATCCGTAATGGTTTTGACAATCTAGTAACCATAAACAAGTAATAAATCGGTTCTATGTTTGGATTTGACTTGATCATAAACTGAAATTTCATATCTTTACGCTTCCGAGCTTGTGAGAAATATTGGATATTGCTGGAAATTTTACACAAGACTTAATGTAGCTTTTCTAAATTTAATTGAGAGCTTGTTTAATTAGATCAGTAAAAAGTTAGGGTTAATTGAAGAGCTTGTTTTGATTAACTAATAAGGTAAAAGAGAATGTACTAGAGCTAATTAGTTATTCTCAGTATCAGCTTAGATATGATGTATTTTCAATAACCGGGTCTAATTTGATTGAATGATTAGGAAAGTAACAACAAAACTGAATTCATGTTTATTTATTGAATTTTATTTAGTTATTATCACTGCTATTTTAGTTTTAATTAATAATAAAAAATCCCCATTTTTCATATTTTACGTTTTATGACTAGTATGGACCTTATGAAAAAAGGCGTTGACTGTTACGTTGTGTCCCTGTGGACTAGACCATGCTTCCATGTGTTATCTGCTACTGCATTCATGCAGTGAAATTTTATTTGTCAAATTTGAGAGATGTCATTTTATGCGTATCTTAAGGTAGTTTTTATTTTCATTTTGCATCATATTTTATGCTTTTTCATACGTATAACTTCAACTAATGTTCAGCTCAAGTTTGATGCTAAAATTCCTGTACTGCTCATGTATTTATGTCGTTTTCAGATAATTCGAGTGGAGCGGTACTTTGAGAGCATCTTTGGATCTATATTTGGAGCTTAATGGGGCTAAAAAACATGAAGAAGCTGGAAGTTAGGTTAGATTTGCTGAAACTGAAGAGTGCGTATCCGAATCGCACGTTTTATGAAAAATGCGATCACATTTATATCGATGATTTTTTAGATCGAAAATTCATCTAGGGTCTTTTTGGAAAATATGCGATTGTGGAAACCTGAAAATGCAATTGTATTTCTCTCACGATGTCTTAAACATGTTCAAATAGCAACATACTTCATTAAACATAAATTTTTTTTTTCCAAAAATGCGATCGCATTTTCCATAAAATGTGATCACATTTTTCACTTTCTTGCTTCGAAAGTTGTTTGGCTCGTATATAAAGGCTCCCTCTTTAATCAGTTTATACCGTGGACATTCCCAAATGACGAAAACAGTTTTCGAAGGTGATTTTCTTCATTTTTCATCACTTTGTGAGGATTTGAAGGTTGTGGATCATCTCAATTAGTTAGATTAGTAAGATTAGTCATTTAGTTTCTCTCTTTATTAGTTTTATCTTGATTTTAGCCATGTTTGGCTAAAAGACTAGTACTTTTTATGTGATTAATCATACGATTTGGTGTTCATTTTGTATTTCTATTTAGATATTTTAGTTGTATGCGTAATGCATGTTTGACAATTTGGTAACCTGTAACAAGTAATAGATTGGTTTTATGTTTGGACTTAACTTTATTGTAAACTGAAGTTTCATATCTTTATTTTTTTTTGAGCTTGTGAGTAGTGACGGGGCTTGAAGTTTTGATTTTGGAGGGGGGGGGGGAGTCAAATTTTATAGTTATAGGCCTAATATCTAAAAAATTTAATAGTAGATGACTAATTCTTAAAAAAAAAAAAAACAGGGTGGGGGGAACAACCCCTAGCCCTAAAGAAGCTCCATTAATGCTTGTGAGAAGTATTGGATATTTCTGTGAATTTTACACATAACTTGATGCAGCTTTTCTAAATTTAATTAAGAACTTGTTTAAATAGTTCATTGAAAAGTAAGAGTTAGTTAAAGAGTTTGTTTTGATTTACTAATTAGGTAAAAGAGAATGTAATAGACTTATTAGTTGTTCTCAATATCAGTTTAGATAGAACACATCGGGTCTAGATTGATTGCATGATTAGGAAAGTCGCAACACAATTAAATTCATTTTTATTTACTGAGTTCTCTTTAGTTATTTTCACTGTTATTTTAGTATTAATTAACAATAAAAAAATCCATCTTTTTCATATTTTCTGTTTTATGACTAGTATGTGCTTTATGCCAAAAAAACATTGACTATTAGATTGTTTCTCTGTGGACTCTACCCTGCTTCCATTTGTTTACCTTTAGTGTATTCGAACAGTAATATTTTATTTGCTTAAATCATACATGACAACGGTTTAACACATCTCCTCTTGTTAGCTTATATTACGACTTAAAATTGTTGTTATCGTATCATTTCAATAATTTTAACATTTGATTAAATGACATCTCAAATGATTAACCTTTAAAACTTAACGGAAAGTATAAACATATCATAACATATGATAGATCTCAAAGTTCTCTCAACAACAGTTCCGATATATGTCACCGACTAGGATAAACCCTACAAAGAGGTATTCAGTGCATATTTAACGACATGTAAATTTTTAGAGATATTAAAAAAAATCCAGATCGACAAATTTAATTTAATTCTAAGATAACACTTAATTCTATATATGTTTACGATGAGATTTGAACATTCGACCTCAAAGAGGGAGAACATCACCTAACATCGTTGGGTTAGAATCCCTTTGGTTTGAGAAATTAAATATTTTCTTATATTTTTTTCCTACTTATCTTCTTACACAAGTGAAATGATGACAAATGTCACATTTTGATAAAATTAATTATATTTTATGACACATGTTATCATTTTACATGGGTATGAAGATAAATAGGAAGAAAAGTAGGAAAATATTTAATTTTTTAATATCCTTATATATTTTCTTCCTACCCATATGAAATGGTGACAAATATCACATTTTGATAAAATTAATAATATTTTAAAACTTTTTATTAATTTTAGGGATATATACACTAAAGTCTCAATATTTTCATCGATTTAACAATAAAGTCATAAACTTTATCTTTTTGATAGTAAATTCCTAATTGTTGACTGTTTTTGACATTTTTACCATTTTTTCCGGTTAGTCGGTAATTAGGATTTTACTGTCAAAAAAATAAAGTTTAAGACTTTCTTGTCAAATCGTGAATTAATGGTTTTACTATAAAAAAAAATAAAGTTTAGAACTTTCTTGTCAAAGTTTTTGACACGTTTATCATTTTTTTCCGGTTAACCAGTAATTAGGACTTTATTGTTAAAAAAATAAAGTTAATTTTTTTTTTCAAATCGATAAAAATATTGGAACTTTAATGTATATTTCACTTAAATTTATACCGATTAAAATAAGTTTGGATATTGAACTTTGTTTGAGTGCTTGTGGCACACGTGGTTATTTGAGTGGTTGTGGCGGTAATATATGTAAGGCGACATCACGACAACAATCCTTCGACTATAGTTTCTTCTAGGGATTAGCAAAAGGACCGGGGAACCGGCCGGAACCAGCACCCGATGGATGGAACCGGTTGGGCCGGGACCTATACTATAATTTCGTGATTATTTGGAACCGGGACCCGGTAAGAACCGACCGTTGGAACCGGCCCAAAACCGGGAACCGACCCGGCTAGAAAAAACCCCATGTCGTTGGATGTTGGCTACTTGGCTTTGTCGCTTGGACTTCTGCTTACACTTCTTCGGATGTAACAAAAAAAACCGATCGTGACAGAAACCCACGTCCACGGAATAGACTCGCGATCCCAACTCCCCAAGTTACGAAGATACGAACCTTACCTGGCTATTCTACCATCGATCGACATCTCCAACTCTCCAAGGAATAAGAATCCAAGCATCTATCGGTTTGTTGTGGCTTGTACCTTACTTGTAGGATTCCAACTTTCCATCTCCAAGTTTCAATCGATCTTCAATTCTTCATCATCATTCATCGATTTTCATCTTCAATTGCTTCAATGATTCAAACTATGGATGTTCATGAAGATCAAGTAATAGCATATATTTATATTTCATGTTTTAAGATTATATATTTCAATATTTGCTTCAATGCTTCAACAATTTGCCAAATAATGGCATGCATGCAAGTTTTTTTCTTTGCTTTTGGTGTCTCCATTCCAAATATATGCATTCTTATCCCCACTTAATTAAAAGATCTTGCTTCTTGATCATAGTCTCATAGTGGAGTACTCCTTTACGGATGAAAGGTTGTACATATAATATATGTTTCATGTTTTAAGCTCCATTTAACAATGTACTTTGTAGACATACATGCAAGATTTTTGTTAGATTAGTTTATTGTTTATAGTATGAATGTAATTATGTAAGATTGTCAAAGCTACGAATTTGTTTAGTACTTTTGTTATATAATTAATGTGTAAAATGGACAATGTAGGATTTGGATGGGTTACCAAATGTACCATCATCAAGATACCGAAACTCGGATGTTCATGATGCCAATATTGAAGATGGTAATCCGGCTAATTGGATTGGAAAAGACTTTGATGACCAAGTAAGATTAGCATTTAGCTCATTAGCAATATTTACTTCTTTAGCAATTTGTCCAAATTTTGAATTGTGCATAACTCACTCAATTTAACTTGTTTTGATCTGAATCTTTTTTCTACATGTAGATTAGGATTTTTAGTTGAGTTTAGACTATAAAAACGAATGATTTGGTTAAAAATTTAATGAGTTACAAGCCCCGCAAGGAAGGGTGTCAAATCTGATTTTTTTTTTTCTAACAGCAATAAAACGTGATCTGATTTTGTTGTTTAAATGTGCATAAATCATTCAATTTAACTTGTTTTGACCTGAATATTTTTCCTACATATAGAATAGGATTTTTAGTTGAGTTTAGACTATAAAAACGCTTAATTTCGTTAAAAATGAATGACTTACAAGCCTCACAAGGAAGGGTGTCAAATCAGATTTTTTTGCTTCTAACAGGAATAAAACGTGATCTGATTTTGTTGTTCAAATGAGCATAACTCATTCATTTTAACTTTTTTGACTTGAATCTTTTTCCTACATGTAGATTAGGATTTTTAGTTGAGTTTAGACTAAAAAACACTTAATTTGGTTAAAAATTGAATGACTTACAAGCCCCGCAAAGAAGGATGTCAAATCAATTTTTTTTTTCCAGCATTTAAACGTAATATGACTTATTATATGTTTTATTTTGAGAATATAGGATTATGGAGAAGATTATATAGAAGAAACATCGGCATGGAATGTTATACCAAGTGATCAATCAAACCAAGAAGAGGAGCCACAAGAACAACAACCTTCAAAAAATCGAAAATTTGCAACCCCGCAAAAACGAAGACAACCAAAAAAACCAACACAAACAAAAAAAACCACCACCACCAAAAAAACGAACACAAGAAAAATACCCAACAAAACCAAAACCCAAAAACAAAAAAAGACTCAAAAGGAGTTAAGGGACCGAATTAACCCAACCAGACGAGGTAAGGGTAGAGATAATTGTACCGCTCCTGTTTGGAAATACTTCGAGATAGAATGGATAAATTAGGACGATGGAATTGAAAGAAAGTGGGCCGAATGTAATTATTGTTTACATTTACTAGCTGCGGATCCAAACCGGAATGGGACAACATCAATAAACAAGCATTTCAATGGGTGCAAGTTAAATCCAGACAACATACCGAAAGAAGTTGATGACAAACAACAAAAGTTGTCATTTACGAAAGCTCCTAATGGTGAGGGTCATGTATACACATGGAAACATGATGATACTATGATCCAACTTGCCTTGCTAGGCCTTTTCACCATCGGGGAACTGCCATTTAAATTCATTGAAAACAAGGCTTTCATAGAATTTGTAAACGCCCTCAATGGTAGGGTGAAATTGCCTTCAAGGCATAAAATTTCTCGTGATGTTGTGTCATTCTATTTAATGGAGAGGCAGAAGTTGTACAAACATTTGAGCAACCCCAAAACAACCATCCACTTGACAATCGACACGTGGACATCCTCGTGTCAAAAGATAAATTATATGGTTGTCACGGCCCACTTCATTACCGAAGATTTTGTCATGCACAAAAGGGTAGTCCACTTTAGAGAGGTTGATACTCACAAAGCTGAAGACATGGCCCGGGAGTTGCTAATTTGAATAAACGAGTGGGGGATGAAGAATGTCATGATGATGACCGTTGATAATGCCAAGATAAATGACATGTCAATCAACATCATTGTGAAAGAACTATCGAGTATTTACGAGAATAGCAAACATTTTCACATTAGGTGTATGGCTCATATCATAAACCTAGTTGTGAAAATGGGGTTAAAACACGAAGTGTATCATGTAAAAAACCTACAAGATGCGGTGAAATACATTAGAGCCTCCCCGCAACGGATCAAGACCTTTAAATAAGCCATGAAGGATGCAGTTGTAGAAAGTCAAAGGTTTTTGTGTGGTGAAACTCCAACAAGGTGGAACTCTACCTTTGAATTCCTAAGATCAGCATACGATGTGAAAGATCATTTCTCAAATATAGCCATCAAGGTAAATAAAATCAAATATATTTCGGCACTAAAAATAGCAATATTTACTTCTTTAGCAATCTGTCCAAATTTTGAATTGTGCATAACTCACTCAATTTAACTTTTTTTTATATAAATCTTTTTCCTACATGTATATTAGGATTTGTAGTTGAGTTTAGACTATAAAAACGCTTGATTTGGTTAAAAATTGAATAAGTTACAAGCCCTGCAAGGAAGGGTGTCAAATCTGATTTTTTTTTTTCTAACAGGAATAAAACGTAATCTGATTTTGTTGTTCAAATGTGCATAACTCATTCAATTTAACTTTTTTGACCTGAATCTTTTTCCTACATGTAGATTAGGATTTGTAGTTGAATTTAGACTATAAAAATGATTGATTTGGTTAAAAATTGAATGAGTTACAAGCCCCGCAAGGAAGGCTATCAAATCTGATTTTTTTTCTAACAACAATAAAACGTAATCTGGTTTTGTTGTCCTTTTTTGTAGATCCAATGTTTCAGAAAACTGTGGGAAGGGTACCATCACATCAGATTTTGAGATGATTAAAAAGATGATGGATTTCCTTGAAAAGTTTAAGAAGAAAACTGAAAAAGTTTCGTGTTCAACAAAGCCTATCTTCCATACGTATATCCAGGAGATCCTAGACATAGAGCAACATCTTAGGAAACATGAAACCAACCCGGAGTTTATGTTTATCATACCGGATATGAAAGATAAATATGACAAATATTAGGGTGACTATGATACTATAAGTGATTATGTCTTCTTTGCGACATTGTTAGATCCTCAATGCAAGTCAAAGTTTATGAAATTTGTTTTTACTCAAATGCTTAAAGCCAAGAACAAAGATAAAAAAAGATGTTCGTTGATGAGATAGAATCCAAAGCACGTGCAAAGGTTATTGATATCAAATGCAAACTTGACAAGTTTTTCAAGACATACTTGGAAAGGTCAAACATGACCTCATCGTCTCAACAAGAAACTCCCGAAGAAGTTGTTAATTTTGATGATGAAAAGGAATTCTTTGGAAGCTATATGACTTCGGGAAGTTTCCCCTCGACTTCGTCAGAAAGTCAATTGCAACGATACTTAAACGAGGACCCAATCAGATTTGACAAAGGATATGATATCCTCACGTGGTGGAAAAATAACGCGGTGCAGTTCCCGATCATTGCTCGAATGGCAAGAGGTATCGACCTTCTTTTACTCTAATTTGCATTTTAATTTATAAATTCGTTTCGTGTATTATACACTAATTTGTTTTTTGATAGATATTTTGGGGATGCAAATTTCCACCGTAGCATCCGAATCCACATTCAGTAATGGTCGTCGAGTAATTACCGACTACCGTACTAATTTGTCCGTTGTGATTGTGGAGGCATTAATATGTACTCAAGATGGCTAAGAAAGAGTAGCTTACCTATATATGACTACGACGAAGTGCACGATGTGTTAGTTGACGATGACCTCGCTATCGGTAATACACCAATACTTGGAATACACATATTAGACTTTTTTTTGTTGGTGAAACTTGAAAGTGTATTTTGAATGTTGAAACTTAAAAGTGTAGGGAAACTTGAATGTTGAATGTTTGAATGTTGAATGCTTGAATGTTGGGTAGTTAATAACATTAAGGTTCATGGATTTCTAATGGATTACTTTTAAGTTTTAAACATCCACTGATAATATAATAATAGCTTATACAATTAAGCCGTTGGATACATTAAAATATAGCCGGTTCCAAAATGGAATAAATGTGTTTGGTAAAAATTGGAGGTAGTCGGTTCCAAAATCGAAAAACCGGACCCGGAACTAGAACCGGTAGAACCGTCGGGCCGATTCGGTTCTAGATTTTGGCCGAAGCTGGTTCCCGGTTCAGTCCTTTTGCTCATCTCTAGTTTCTTCTTTTCCAACTATGACGGGTGTCTAGTGGACGCCAATAAGCTAGATATATTTAAATTTTATATTTAGTTTTTTGTTTTTGTTCCCTACCGTTCATGAACATCTATTGATGATTTTCATTTGACAAAATCAACATAAAAGAAATTTGCTTTTCAGTATTTATCTTTCACTTTTTTTAATGCCATCTCATTCTTCATAACTTAAGAAACGGTCACATTTTAATTTTCTCTACTTTTTTTTCACAATAAAAGTATTCTAATTTAAAAAGTTAAATGTTAATAAATAGATTAAATTAAATAGAAAAAAATAGCTACTAACACAATATAAATAAAAATCATAATATTTCATTACTTGAAAAATAAACAAGTACATAATTACAAAAAACACGAAGTTAAAAAAACCAAACATAAAACAAACTACGATATCAGATCAGTTGAAAATAATTTTTTCACAATCTCCTCCATACTTCAAGCCATTTGGAGGTCTGTCTCCTAAAAGATGGTTGATATTTTGACCCTTAGTTTTAGGGGAAAAAAAACAAGTTTTTCAGCTATTGGCCAATCACAAGAAGAAGGAAATGGTGGGGGGGGGGGGGGGGGGGCAATTCACCGTACACAAACTGCACCAAGGGTGTAGTGTTCTCTGATGCAGTTCTAGCCCAATCAGCAATCGAATTATGTGATTTTCACCCACACAATGTGGCCTAATAAAGAAACTCATGGCTTGTGTCTTTTTTTTTTTATGATCGAAAGATTGTTTTAACTCTCCAAACCTAACTAAGGGGATTCAAATGCAATCGAATTGTATTCTATATATCTTATAAGTGGTTCTATGTATGTAAGAAAGCAATTGCAATTTTTCCAAATATAAATTAATGTAAATTCAAATTGGGTGCATATAAAGTTTTAGATATTAACCAACGTTCAAATTTAAGTATGTTTGTAAATATATACTTGAGATCATTTTTTAAGTTTATATGTTATGCATCTTTCTATAATCACAGGATGATGAAGTGAGATTGATAATTACTTCTCATGAGCTTTTGGTAAATCAACAATCAAGCTATTTATAAGTTAGAGCAGTTAACTTTGTTAACATGTATGTATCTTTATGTTGTATTTTTTTTTATGTTAAGAAAATATATTTTATGTATAAGAGAACATTATTCAACATTTATTTTATGGTATGTATATACTATGTTACTTTCTATCGCTTATTTTGTAAATAACATCGATGAAGTTTTTTATAATTGATTTTGATGAAAGGAGTTTACAATTATTATTCCAAATTGTTGGTGATAATGACAAATTAGAACGAATAATTTTTAATATGACATGACTTTATTGTTGAAAACCGATAATTATGTGTGTTATAAAAATGAATCATTTATGTTCTACCAAAACTTATATGGATATACCCAATTTTAAATGTTTTCATAGTAATAAAAAATAAATTATCTTATTACATTTTTCAATTTTCTTTTTTTCCTATTCATTCTTTATCGTAAATGAAAAGTAAAATAAATAAAATATTACTATTTTCATAAGGAAATATAAGTGATCAAAATATATACCTCAACTGTAGCATTTCTCCTCCCTTAACCCACTCTTAACATATTGTATTTAAGATTGGTTGCAGTACATAATAATTACTATAGTTTTGAAATTCAAATTATTATTTTATTTGGACCGTTCATTCTCTTTCAATATTTCATAGCTTTATGGAAAAAAAAAAAGTACAATAAAAAAGTATGATAGTTTTTTTAACTATAATAATGAAAATTTTCAAATAAGTAGTTTTTAATTAGTAAAAAGTAATAACTGTTTAAAATAACATAAAACTAAACAATAAATTATATTATATTAATAAATTATTGTTATTTAAATAATAATAATAATAATAATAATAATAATAATAATAATAATAATAATAATAATAATATAGGAAATGAAAAATATTCAAATAAATTAGTTAAAAATAAGTATAGTTTTAAATAATTTTAAATCAAAAACATAATTCAATTTGATTCAAGCATAATTTTTTAAATCTTTTTTTATCGTATACTTAAAATTATCATAATATTAGTTACAACTTTATATAAAAACTATTATTTCAATGATAAATACTTATAATATTATTTTTATAGCATATAATTCTTAATATTTATATTATATTATTGAACATAAATCAAGAGTTAAAACTCCCACTACGACTCAATCGTTTTTTTATATTTAAATGTAATTATGATTTCAAATTTAATGTAGTTTTTCTTTATATTTTCCACTACATTCCAAAAAAATTTAAACTGATGGTTATTAATGTGCAATGCTTTTTTATTTTCTACTTAATTATTATACACATTCTAACTATATTAGTAGTATATAAGTAAGTTTTAATTAAAAAATCATATGTTTGAAAAGATTTGTGATTCAAAATGAAAGAGTTGAAAAAGAAATAAATTTTGTCGTATCAATGGTTATTTCAACATAAATTTTTTATGACAATGTTTCTATATATCAAATGTATGTTGATTTCTAGATATTCATTTTGAATGATTTATAAGTCTTTAATACGTTTGGTTTGATTTAAATGTTAAAATGTTGTAGTGTTTTGATTTTATTAAAAGCAATAGTATTTTTCATACTATTTGTTATTTGTTTTATATACAAACTGCGATAAGTCTTATATATGGGTTGTGCTATAAAT